ATGAACTTAGAAGAAGAAAAAATAATTAAGTAAATAAACTACTTATTCAACAAGAAATAGACTACTTAAGAAGATGATTTAATTACTTCTTTAATAATAAGTTATACTTTTTAAACCATATATGTTATATTTGTTTCATTTGTCTAATTATCTTTGTGTATCTTTTCATTTTATTTGAACTATTTTCGGTTTTAATAGTAATTGCTAATATTATTTGGTTCCAATCATTGTCTTATTGATTGTGTATGAGTAATAATTGTGTGTCTGTGTATATATATATATTTTTTTTTTTTCATGTGGTTGTTGTATATCATATTTTGATTTAATTTTATGATGCTTAAGCATTTCATTTTGCTAATAACTATGCCATATGAAAGATTAATTTATTGGTAGTGTGGAATTTTTAAAAATTTGTTTGGAGCACCAACCTTCAACAAAGAAAAGAAAAACCTCATTGATATCATCTATATCTATATCTATATATATATAAAGAGGGAGTTGATGGAATTTATTGCTAAATATAGATGATATGCAATGACTATAATTGGTAACATTTCTACATTTGGTTGGGTAATTGTAATTGTAAGGTTAATTATTTTTGTTAAGAATGCCAAATAATTAAGGGAAATACATTAACATAACTAAATTCGTATTCAATTATTTTTGGTAAATTTTAGGAATGGAAAATAATAAGTAAAAGTTAACTTACTCAATTATTTCTGTTTGGAAATATATTAATATTCTTTTACTATATATTTAAAAATGTATAACATCAACTACGGTCACCATATTTCAATCACTTGATACCTTAAATATATTTAATATCATGAACTCTACATATGTCATTACTATGTTTTTTAAGGCAGCAGTATTAGTTTATGCTAACATAACTATACGTATTAGTTTATTCTAACATTACGCATAGATCCAAAAAACAAATTAAAACGAATATTTATTATGAATAATCTATTTAAATTAAGTTATTAGATGAATACATGATAATGGTGAATGCAGGTAAAATTTCAAAAATGATACACCAAGTTGAGCGTTATCAACAAAATAGATATTTTGTTGTTTCTCGCGGAAAAGAAACATGTAGTTGGCGATTTGGTCGGAAAAGATACATTAATCACCCCACTTGGATAAATAAGCTAGCGTGGCCGGATTAGATAGTGACGTGGCATTATAACTTTATTTAGTTCATACGTGTTATATACGTGGCGTGATGTGACATTATTATCTCAAAATACACAACTACACATAGATAAATAAAAATAAAATAAAAAAAATCCAAAAATAAATAAATATAAAGACACATTAGCAAAAAAAATAACAATAATTATAATAAGAATAAAAATAAAAAATAGAAAAATTAAAAAAATCCAAAAATAAAAAAGTTTTGTTCTATTTCCTTAACTATATATTAATAAAATATTTTTAAAATTATATTTCTTTTTTACATATAAAAAATTATTAAAAAAATAAAAAATACTTTGTTAATATTTCGTTATTAAAAAATATTTTGTTAATATTTTGTTAAATATAAATATATTCGCGAATATATATTAAAAAATATTTTGTTAATAATAATAATTATATATAATTTATTATTAATTATATTATTTAATATAGTAGTTTTACATAAAATTTTATTTACTTAATATATATAAGTATTAAATATAAATATGAATCACAAAATATAAATTTATATTAAAAAATATATTTTAATTATTTTAAAAATATACATCTAAAAAATATATTTCAATTTATTTAAATATAAATTTAAATTTGTGATTTATATTTATATTTAATATACTTATATATATTAAATAAATAAAATATTATGTAAAGTATTATATTATATAGTATAATAAATTATATATAATTATTATTATTAATGAACTTTATTTTTTTTAGTATTTTTTAATATATATTAGTGAAATGTATTTATGTTAAACGAAATATTAACGAAATATCTTTTTTATTTTTTAATATATATTAACAAAATATAAATTTTTTAAATATTTTATTAATATATAGTTGAAAAATTAGAACGAAATATATTTTTTTCTATTTATTTTATTTTATTTTATTTTTGGATTTATTTTCTATTTATATTATTATTATTTTATTTTTTCTGATGTGTATTGATTTATTTTTCGAGTATTTTTATTTTTATTTATGTTAGCGTAGTTGTGTACTTGGAGAGAAGGATGACACATAACGCCACGTATATCACACGTAGGAAATTAAGAAAATTTATAATGTCACGTCATTATCTAATCTGACCACGTCAGTTTTTTTATCCAAGTTGAGTGCTTAATGTATATTTTCCGACCAAATTGTCAACTAAATATTTTCTTTCCATGAGGGACAACAAAATGACTGTTTTGTTGACAACGCCAACTTAGTGTATCATTTTTGAAATTTTGCCGCTGAATGCTTAACAAAATACTTGAATCATATTAATGTCAATAAAATTTAAGCATTATTATTGGTGAATACTTAACAAAATACACTCAAACTTACTAAGATACTCGAGTACAAAATAGGAGTAATTCACGCTATAAATCTCATATTCAAGATCTGTGTATTGTTCTCTCATATTCAAATCCGATGGTGGTGTTGATTTCTTGCATGACCTGCACACTCTGGAGTTCTTAAATAGTATAAAATGTTTTGGTGTTCCAAATCATTAATTGCACTTAAAGGTTGAGACTTCTGTCATGTTGTTGAGAAATATTGACCATTCGATTGGACTGTGTAGTGGAACACGCTTGGTGATACCGAAGCTTTTCACTCACGTGTTTGAATGTAAGATTCTAACAGGATCAAATGCTGGACATAAGGTACTGGTACCAAGACTTTTTCTATCTCCATCTGATCTCAGGATACCCTTCAAGTTCCAGCGTAGACAATTTACTCTTATGTTTTCTTACGCAATGACAATCAACAAGAGTCAAGAGCAGTCGTTATCCCATGTCGGACTTTACATGAAAAGACCTGTGGTTATTAGTCATGGTCAATTATACGTTGATGTGTCTCGAGTCACTAATCCACAGGGATTGAAGATATTAATATGTGGTAGGACGATAATGGGGAAAAGAAAACTACTAAAAATGTTGTCTATCGAGAAATTTTTCTAAATTTGTAATACCATATAATATTGTACTTTTACTATCTATTCAATAATAATGTTATTTACTTGTCATTTACTTTTTATGATATATATATATATACTAATGTATTTATTAAAATATTTTAATAAATATGTTCCGTGCATCGCACGGGTGAAGATACTAGTTGTTCTTTAGAAAATGAGATCGTCAAACTAGTGAAAACACATCAATTACGGTGCAAAATGAGCATAATGAATTTTACTCTGTATAAATCTCGTCGAGCATAACTTCAAATAAATGATATTATGTGAATTTTTATGAAAATAAATTTTAAAAATTATAACACAGTCTACTCATAACTTCTAAATCCGTTCTTAGTTAGTATGGTCATGACCAAACCGGTCTGTAACCTTTCTAGTTTGTAAAGACCAAATACGTATTTGCATATTTGCAAGAGGCCCAAACAATAATTTAAGTGGTCCTATGTGTAAAAGAACAGACAAAAAAAAGTAGGCCGGCCAAAGGGCTGGATTGTAGACTTGTAGTTTGATAGTACCCAGATAGACGTGGCCACAATTCGGACCCACCCGATCGCAATCGGTGACGGTGGGTCTTGAATTGGCCCGTGGTTCTACATATACGGGCTGGTTCAGGTTCATTTTTTGTTAAATGAACCGTCTGTTATCGTTTCGAACCGTATCGTATGTTCGACGTCGAATTTTAATTTAAAATTTGATATTTATTTTACTTTTTAAAATGGTTACTATTTTTTGATTATTTTGACTATTTGTTTTAGTTTCTCCAACTGGCTCTGAACCGTCGGGCCAATTTTGAACCGAGATCGTTGGTTCAATAAACCGGGCCTTAGTTTATCTCGTACCATTATGGCTCACCAAAATGACGAAGTTGAATCGACGGTCCGAACAAAAATCGGTTTGAAATTAGATTTTGGGCACGTCTACCAACAAGGAACGGACCAACCAGCGGGCTGCGGACTGGTCGGGCCGGGATATGATGCAGGCTGGCCCACTGATAATTTATTTTTTCTTAAAAAAAGTCAATGTAAATAGGGTGGGAATTATGGGTTAAGGGGGACTGCTGTGAGTCATTAATAACAAATAAATAAATAAATCCTCTTTCACTCTCTCCCATTGCAAAAATCTCCTCCACAAATAGTACAAAATAGAAAAATTTCTCCAAATCACAAATCTCAGTTGATTCAATGACATCAAAGGCAGAAAAAAAAGCCGGCCGAGACAACAGAGGAGAAGAAGACGGCGGTATCTGGGAAGGCCCCGACGGAGAAGAAGCCCAAGGCCGGGAAGAAGATCCCAAATAAGGACGGCGGCTAGAAGAAGAAGAAGAAGAAGAAGGCGAAAAAGAGTGTGGAGACCTAGAAGATCTACAACTCAAAGAACAAAATGACTTAGTTATGCATGATGAATTTCAGCAATATATATTTTTACATGGAAGCCTAGTTAAGATGGCAACAGGGATCTTCATTCATTGCATAAGTTGGCATAAATTGAAGAAAAATATGATGTGAACAGTAAACTAAGAGCATTTCCAATGATACATGAATGGCTCTCTTTCATTGTCACATAGCCTCTAAAATCTGATGTGGCATTCATTAATTCTATAAGTCTTTCTAGATATAGAAAGACTTCTAGACATATAATACATATGTCAAATTATCTAACAATTGAGATTAACCATTAGAGACAAAACATTTTTACTTCTTTTCTCCACACCATACATTTTAAAATAGATATTGAGCCATTAGAGATGCTCTAAGGGTTCGAGGATATGTGGGCAGAAAAATTGAAGAAAAATATTTGTAACCCTTCGATCTATTTTAAATTAGAATAGATCTAATGGCTCATGTTTAACCGCTGGGCTGCTGTAATTGACTCACAGCCTCCTTCACCGGGAATTAGGTGGGTAATCGGATAAAAGGAATTTGGTAAACAACATTCATTTCTCCCAACCAAAAAA